CTCAGTCTGTACATGGGACGCTGGACCCGCTTTCCAGCAGGTGATGCTCCCCACCAATAGATGGAGCCTCCCTCCTGGTGGTAGTGGTGCCTGCTATTATCAGCAGCACTAACACCAGAAGTGGAACGTTTCTCAAAAAAAAAAAAAAAAAAAAAAAGAAAGAAAGAATGAATGAATGAATGAATGGTAGAAGGAAAGAAAACAAAAAAAGAACCAAAAGTGGAACGTACAAGAAGAAAAAAAAAAAAAAAAAAAAAAGGCCCAGCACCAGATGGTGGAACAAGCTAACAAGCACCGATGACCATTGCAGTTTGCAGTAGGTGACTTGTTCTGGGTTAAGTCTAAGGAGTTCGCTCTGGAAGAAGGGATCTCGCAGAAACTGCTACCTGTGTACAAGGGACCATGGCAAGTCTTAGATGTCAAGGGAGAGGCAGATGGCCCGTCCTACACTATCGAGATTCCGCCCCACCTGCATGTGTACCCAGTATTCCACGCATCTAAGTTGCTTCCCTGTATTACAAACGATAAGTTTCCCTCTCGACGTTCCATGATCCCACCAGATATGGACGGAGGCTATGATGTAGTTGCTGAAGATACTTTCCGTACAGGTCACCCAGGGAGACCACAGAGGCAATATAAGGTCAGATTCGCCTATCAGGAACCCAACGAAGACCGCTGGTTTCCCACGGAGGAACTAATACAGACAGCCCCTCACATTGCTTCCTTTTATGAGAGGTGTCGGAGAGGAATGAACATCTATGATCGATAAAGAGAGGATTTTTATCGGAGGACCTCAAAATTAGGTCGGCAGGAGTGAAAGGATTCACGCTGCAGCACCCAGTCCCGGTCCCAGGGTCCAACAAATCCCAAGTTCCAGGGCTGTGCAGTAGGGTAGGCCGTAGGGTCTAGAGGCCGAAACATCGTAGGTCGGTCGGTGTTCACACCGAAGCGTCGCAGGTTGGTAGGAGTCCGTTCGTACCTGACAAGAAAAGTCCAGAAGAGTCCAGTCCAGTCCAACAGTCCCAAGTCCAATTTTGCAGCATGTCCCAGGAAAGTCCGGAAGCTACCGGACCGACAAGATGTTTGCAGCAGAGAAGCCGCAGCCCACCGGTACCGGTCTGAAGCAGGCCAAGCCAAGCCAAGCCAAGCCAAGTCCTATTTTCGCTGCTAAAGTGCAGCGTCTCATCGCATAAAAGTTGCGAGATGCGGAAGCGCTACTGCTGCTTGTGCGTTAAGGCCACTTGGGCACTGTGCGCCCGAAGAAGAAGAGCTCAGGTCACTTGCGAGATACTCCATAGCTAGGTTAGGGGTAGCGCAGGGGGAGGGCAGTCATAGGCGCCAAGGTGTAAGCTTACCTGAGTGGG